TCTCCCATTTAAAAATCCAAATACCAAAATTGATTCAAGGGAAATAACTTTCATAAGAATAGTTAAATGAGCCAAGTGTAACTAAGACATGCTTGAAATTCACACCAAAAACGCTATAAATTTCATTATATAATCATTGTATTAAATTTTATATATTAAATATGTAAATTAGTGAAAGCAATATATTTTACCTATTGTTTTCAATTAACTGTAGGTTTTGCTTAAAACATTAAAAGCAGTAGCTTTATTACAACACGAGCCGGCCCGCGGCATAGCATACGCCGCTATTTAGTTATTGTTTTTTCTACTTTTCAGTAATTCAAAATTTGTGAATTCGACAGTACCAACGCTGCCACTGAAAATATTTCTTTAAAACACTATAAGTAGCTCGTTAAGGACCATAACCCCCCCCCCTTCCTCCCCCCCCCCCCCCCCCCTACGTTTAAAATCGTTGGCTCTGCTTGTAAACATTTAGAGTGAACACAGCTCACAAAAACCATGTAGGGGTGGGGAGGTAGGGAGAGCGTTTGCAGCTTGTTTTCTAACGGCTCGAAGAGGAGAATTATATATATAGATACTTATATTCAATTTGGATGACATTCAATTTAAATAATTACCTCGGCAACTTTGACTAATAGCAACTAATATTCAATTTTTCATTTTTCATTTTACTTCGCTTGAGCACGGAATTTGACCAGACTCTTTTCAATTTTTTGAACCAACAAGCTTTAAATTCAATGTATCTTTTGTATTCATTTACATATTTCGCTATTTATTTACTATACTCTGTACACCAATGTAACTATCTTGTAAATCTCCACCCAAACGGCGTGGAATGTTACTGTATTTGTTTTGAATTGGAAAATAAGAGTATTAAAAAAAAATATCATGAGACAGGGCAAATCACCCAAATAAATCACTTGTAAATGGTCACAACAAACCACAAAATTTTCACATGATCAATATGGACATAAAAAAAAGTGTTACATTCTTGACAGTCAGCCACAATATTATCAGTTCCTTTAATATGGGAAATAAACAGATTAAAGTTTTGGAAATACAAACACCATCTTAAAAGAAAAAAGGCTGACTTTAAAAAATTCACAAATTTTGCCATAAATAATAATTTTATGCATCTCTTTGCTAATTTTTAGCCATAAAGGCCGAAATGTATAAAAATTTCAGCCGTCCATTGCTAATAAAATAATATTTGGGTAAAAATAACTACCAATGGGGGGGGGGGGAGGGGAGAGGGAAGGACTAACACTTCTGGGGGGAGGGCGGTAGACTCTCTTCGGGGGCTCTTTAGTTTCCAGTCGGTCGTATCCATCGTCACTTAAAGACGCGAACTACAAGTCATGGGAGAGTTGGAGCGACTGCTGCCGTTTATAGCGCAGCTATTCTTGAATATTTGACTGCTGAAGTTCTGGAGTTGGCTGGAAATGCAAGTAAAGATTTGAAAGTAAAACGTATCACACCTCGTCACTTGCAGTTGGCTATCAGAGGAGATGAAGAGTTGGATTCCCTAATCAAAGCTACCATTGCTGGTGGTGGTGCTATTCCCCATATTCACAAATCACTGATAGGAAAGAAGGGGTCTCAAAAGGCAGCATAACCACCCTTTTAGTGTTCAAGCTCATTTTATTTGATATTGTTACGGTCCTGCGTACATTTGAACTGTTCATCATTGTTGTACAACCACCAATCCGTGTAGATTTTTATTTCCTTTTTTTATATTGTCACCACAACCATAGACCATTTTAAATTTTCATTTAATAAATGTCATCTTCACAATGGAATATTTCCCTTTTATTGATCTGAGGAATGTCAGATTTGCAAGGCTTTACAAGATGTTTCATTCATACTTAAAAAGATGCCAATACAAAGTTCATAGTGTTACATGAGGATCTGTAGATTCTGTGACTAGACTACATGAGTTTTCCATGAGGTGTTTTTAAGACTTTTTGATTGCACTGCAATTATAATTGTGAATATGTGTATTAGGAAGCTTTCAGGTGATTGTGGTAGTAAGAAGATAATTTGTTTCAATGGAACAGCATTAGTTTTAGAGTGTTTAGTGGGTATTAAATATTCATGCTGCTGTTACTGTGCTGTTCAGTGTAACTTGTTTAACTATGATGTATGATTCTATTGTCGTAGTATTAACTCTGAGAGTATTACTTATTGGCAGATAGAGATAGGAATTTTTAAGATATTTGGATGTTGCATTCCTCAAGGAGTTGCTATTGTCATAAGAACAGCTGTAGTTCTGGTTTGTCAAATCTAAATATTAAGAAAAGAAAAGTATGTATGATTAAAAAAAACAAAAAACAATTTTGGATTTACAACTTCCACCGGTCTGCTAATATCAATAGTCAGTTGAAATTGTGTTATCGACCAAAAATGGCACTCTCTGCTGCCCCATCAGCTGCTGTGTCACTTTTGCTTAGCATACTTGTGTTTGCTTTAATGCAAATCTTCAAAGCTGACATTGCATCTAAAGAATATTTTACAATTGCTGGAGAATTTATTGGTTCCATTTTATTCATCACCTTGTTAACATTTACCAGCAATGTTGAAACTTTAGCATTTAGCAAAGGATTTCAAACAAAGACGTTTCCTGCTTTATACCTACGAGACCATATCAGCAACAGCCTTCCGCCGTTACTCCCAAATCTAAACGATTCATCAAATCTTACCAAACAAGTACAATACTTTGAACACCCCGTTATTACACAACTATATCCAACAGGACAGATTTCTAATTCAAAGTAAGAGAAAACGAGACTTACAAACCCTATTAAAATTAAATGACTGTTTGAAATGTTCGAAATTTAAATAACGAACTTATTTCATCGTTTTCTACATCAATTATGTGACACCAACATAAAAAGGCAAAGTGACTGGTAAAAAGCGCCTCGACCTTTCCAAATTAGGGATGTGGGGTTGAATTTTCACCATCGCGAATACGTATATGCCTATATAGACCTAATTTTGGGGTGTGGGTGCAAAATTAATAGTTTGTCCTAGGTTCTACCAATAGATCGCTACTCCTTTATAAAAGTTATTAATTATTAGGTACTTTTTTTATAGTAGCGATTAAACGTTTGCGCCACCCCCTCCCCCTTTAGGGATGGTGCCCTAGGCGACCGCCTAGTTCGCCTTATAGGTAGGGCCGGCCCTGTGCTTAAGTTAACTGGGGTGGGGTAATGTAAGTTCTATTCTTCAAAATAACTTAACAATAATAATAATAATATAGTTGTAATAGCATTTGATGCAAGGAATATTAAATGTTAACCCTATGTAAAAACATGTATACGATGGACCACGACTTATATCAGGTTTATAGTTTTGTCTATATACCACCGTACCACTGTTATTTTTCTCTTAATCTTTTAAACTTTATACAATTGCCGAATGAACATATTAAAAAAAAAAAAGAAATGTATAACTTTCGGTTATTTTTACGTTCAATGCTATGTAATAATTATTATTTGAGTTCTCTTGATCCCCAATCCCCACCCTACATATATAATAAATTATTCTTAATAGATTGGCAGTTTTTTTTTTAATTTTTTATTATTTTCAATGCAATGTTATAAATTAAATAAGTTCTCAAGATGTTATTTTTCCTACTTATTAATTAACTAATTCTTCCTAGATTGGCAATCCTCTGAACACGATCATTCTAGCTCCGTAGCATAAAGTTTTCATTTTTGACCCTAGGCATTGTAGAGAAGTCAAGCACAGTTTGTAACGGCCCTTGTGGTCAGCTAACCTTGTCCTGTCCGACTGGTCATCGTGTGGCCATCAGGGATGCTGTCAACAGGTTGCAGGTCAAGACCCCCACCTGCACGACCCCGCCACAGTGTACTGACCCCCAGCAGGTAAGGATGTGGGTTGTAACAAAAATGTAACCACCAATCAAAAAGTGTTTTAAATGGTTACGGCGGAACCAACATTTAACCATCAATAAAAAGCAGCGCTTTAAATAGTTGTACAAAATATTTAACCGCCAATCAAAAGCAGTGTTTCATATTGTTATGACATTTTAAGTTTAGCCTAGCATGTATAAAAATAAGAAACAAAATAACGTTGCAACAAAAAAAAAAAAAAACCTAGTTTTGAACTTCGAACTCCGATTCCTTTCAAGCGTTGTGTTGTTTTTAAATAAATCAGGATGAACGAAAAGACAGATTGTCTTTTTCAACTTCAAATCTACCCCGGTAGGCACAAAACATAGAAACTATCTTTCCTTTTCAGAATAATCCAATATTATGTTACACGTGCATTAGCGCAATGAAAAAAAAAGAACTATAACAACCTAGGCCTATTTAATAAACACATTTTTTTTTTAATAAACACATGATTGAATTTTTAAATTAAAACAAAGACTGATGTTAAACAGCCACTAGTACTAGTACACAACCATAAGATCTGTACACAAAATACTTTTCAGAATGCGAAACCAGAAAGAACATTATGACGTTGAATATTATAGTAGATTTTTAAATATTGCACATCCCAAAAATTCATAGGCTTGCCAGGTGTCCAGTTTTGAACTGGACAGTCCAGTATTTGAACAGACTGTCCAGGATAAAATAAATATAAATACTGGACAAGTATATGAATAATACTCTGTTACCCCCCTTCTCCTGCTTCGGTGCATAACTGAGAAGGGAAGGATGGAAAGGTGTCCAGTATTTTCGGAAAAGGTATCTGGCAACCCTAAAAATGCATTAGAATCAAATATTCGATGTCTTAAATAACTTATGTATAATCTTAATATATTGAATATAAAAAAACAATTCTTGCATTTCTATAAAAGATTTGGAAAATTCAGATTATTAATTTATTTTTTAAAAGTTACCTCCCTTTCGACAATGAGGGTTTCCTACCCTGTAGAAAACTGCAGCAGAATGATCTTTCCCTTGTTTATTTCCCCCAGGAGCCGTGCTGTGAGCAGTCTCGCCAGGACTGCGTCTACTCCTACCCCATGTCGCAGCTGCGCTCCCTGCAGCGTAACTGCTCGGGCGCCAACAGCTGTCTTCTGCAGACGGAGAAAGCAGACGGTGACGTCACGTTGTGCCCGACCACCAACGCCAGCCGAGTGACCAGTCAGACGATACTCAACTACGTTTGTATAAGCGGTACTGGAAGTTTCCTGTCCCGGAACAAATAATGGGCTAGTTGGGCAATAGTCCAGGGGCCTGATGGTTTTACATGAGGGCTTGTTATAATTTTATAAACCATAGCAACTTTCCGTTTTGTAATGTTTGTTTTTAGTTGTTAGGATAAATGAACTTTAAGATAACTGAAAACACCCAAAACGTAAACGTTATTTAGAGATTTCTTAGAGCAATAGAACAACGATTTACCCACATGTGAGGGTATTTAGCTTCTACAATGCTATGGTGTTGTTGTTGTTGTTTTTTTTTTTTGTTTGTTTTTTTTTACTGTGCATTTACATTTTATATTCTAGATCTATATGGCTTATAATTTAGGCAAATTTAGGAGTATAGATTCGGTCAGTTCAAGGGTGTAGTTGGCGCTACTGTTAATTTATATAAAAACGAGTCTGTACAGAATGGAAAGATTTGAACAAAAAATACTACAATGTGTGAGGGATGGATACTATATAGATCTGCTTGTGACAAAATCATTAAACTATTACTTAGAGTTTCTTTAAACATTGTTTTCTGAGTGTGGGGGGGGGGGGGGGACTGCTTAAAATTTCGGGGATGAGTCAGCGTTGGTTGAAGTAATTATTTTTTTATATAAATCAATTACTTTTCTATATCTTCAGGGGGGGGGGGGGAGTGGAGGGTTGAGAGGGGGGATGCCATAAAGAAATTCTGCTATTAATTAGTTTCAAATATTTAATCAACAAAATTATGCCTGCTTTTACATATTAAAATTATTTTCACTAGACGGTTTGGTGTCTGAAATCTGATTTTACATGTTCAAATTATTTTCACTAGACAGTTCGGTGTCTGAAATCTATTTTGATATGTTCAAATTATTTTCACTAGACACTATGGTGTCTAAAACCTGTCTATTTTTACATGTTCAAATTATTTTCACTAGACAGTTTGGTGTCTGAAATCTATTTTTACATTTTAAATTATTTTCACTAGACAGTTTGGTGTCTGAAATCTATTTTTACATATTCAAATTATTTTCACTAGACAGTTTGGTGTCTGAAATCTGCAACGTTGACGAGTCAGTGGTCAGCGGCATCACACTGTTCGCTCGCTTGGATGGCCGGACTCCGGTCAACAAGCGGCTGGCGAAGGGCAGCGTGTGCACGTGCACGGCGGAGACGACAAGATGGCCGACCAACAACTCGATCGCCGTCTTCGTGGTGGACACCCGCCTCAACAGGCCGGAAGTGTCCGACTGCGCAAACGCATCGTTTTCTGTCAGGTAGGCTTATATTAAGAGAGACAAGAATATAGTGTTACATGAGTTCTAAATAGCTCTTGACAAATAAATTTTATATATATATATATATATATATATATATATATATATATATATATATATATATATATATATATATATATATATATATATATATATATATATGGAGTCGTCAATAAATGACGTCGTCGTCCATAACTGACGTACACTCGAAGGGGGGGATGGGGGTCTGTAATTTTGTGTAGGTGTGTGAGTAGGAGGAGGGTGGTTCAGATGGTGTGACGTCACACTATTGCATTATTAAAAAAACAATGTTAGAAAACGAATTTTAGCCGTTTTTTTTTCGCGTTTTAGAAAACTGTTTTAATAAATTGTAATAGAAGTTGATTAAAATACTCTTTATTGACAGAGTTCAGACAAGAATTTGGATAAATAACTGTTTTAAGAAAAATTCAACTGCAATTTTGTGGGGGGGGGGGGGGGGGGGTAGAATGAGGTATGACGTCATTTAAGGGGTTGTTGGGTCCTGGCGTTTTGTGATGGGGAGGGGGGGGGAATGTCCAAAACAGCGTGACGTCATTTATGGATGATCCTTATATATAATTCTCAACAGGCTATTAATTACTATCTGCATTTTATTAGAAGTCGGCCGAGTGAAAGATTGTAAATATACTATTTGTAGACCCTGTATGTAATGAATAATAATTGATTAGTGCCGTTGTAGGCAAAGTGTGAAATGGTAAGTCTGGAGAGGAACATTAAAATTTAAATTGAAAAACATACATGTCTAAACTTTCCAAATATGGTACGGATTTTAGAAGGTAGTCATGAATAAAAATACAATTCCTGTATTAACTAAGAGATGAATTTTTTCAACATATATTATATCTTTTGAAAAAAATGATGCAAGTATTGTAACACATATTTATCTATGACGATTAGAAAAACTGCTATACTGAACAATGGTAGCATGGATTTAATGTAATACAAATTTGTTACTTCCCATTTATAAATTTGAAACATAAAAGGGAAATAACACTAAGATATATTCTCATCAGTCGTTAAATAAATAAAACAAATTTTTATACGCAAGAAAATAAAATTTGCAATAATTATTTATTAATAGACCAGACAAAAATATTAATGTCGCTTATGACAGTGTGTCCTCTCTCTAGATTTAATAGATTTTAGTATTATTAAACGACTGAAGCTAAAGTAGAAAAGTTTTAACTGTATTAGATATTATTTTATAGACAAGTGAAGCTTATCAATTGATGTTGTTTGTCGTGCACTTTGCAGTATGCTACTATGTTATATTACAATTTTTAAAAAAGGCGAAAAAAAAAATAATAATAATAATTTTATAAAATAATCAACAAAATGTCTTTTTATACCAAAAGTTTCGGATCACTTAGATCTAGGTCTACTAGACGAGTTGATATACAAAGAGAACGGTTCCTCACAAAAAGTTCGCAAACAATCATCCTCCTGAACATTTCCCACCCAAGCCCAAGAGCAAAACAGTGTTTACTTTTTAAACCAATCTGCTGAGTCGTTCATTTTGTCGTTATATGTCACGTACCTTACACTTACGCTAACGCCTGCGTTTACGCCTACGACTAGGCTACACCTACACGGTTGTTGCATTATTATTTTCAGTACATTTAAAAGCGTATTACTATTTTAAGTTTTTTTTTTTAAATTGTTTTATTATCTTATTTTCAGTACATTTAAAAGCTTATTTAAAATCTTATTTAAAATCTTATTATTATTTTAATATTTTTTTTTAAATTGTTTTATTATCTTATTTTCAATGAATTTAAAACCTTATTATTATTTTAAGTTGTTGTTCTTTAATTTGTTTTATTTTCCGATTTTCAGTGCATTTAAAAGCTTATTATTTATATTTTACTATATTTGTTATATTTTCTTATTGTCGATGCATTTAAAAGCTTATTATTTATATTTTACTATATTTGTTATATTTTATTAACACGTTTTTCTTAACTCAGCTTCGCGTTTGTGGATGTGTGGATTTGTTTGTTGTTAAAATTGACATCGAAAATTAGCCCACTTCTGATTGCTCTAGAGACCTGAAATTTGGCATGCATGCTACTTTCGCCTAACAATTTCAGATGCAATCATAAAACTAGCAATTAGAGACCGTAATTAGCTTAATTTAATTACGCCCAAAGGACCATAAAATTGAGGACATGATTTCTAAAGATACCGACAAGACTGAAGGCTTATTGACACAGTTACTTCGGCCCCAATCGATGTGAGCGCGCTGGCCGTGATCGTATAGTGGTTAGTACTTCGCGTTGTGGCCGCGACAACCCAGGTTCGAATCCTGGTCGCTCAAGATTTTTTTAGTCCGTGTATTTATAAACACTTAGTCAATTCATACTTAATCAAGTCATTAGATAAAGTAGAAAATAAACTATATAAAAAACTTTTTTAAAAACCACGTTTTTCATGTGTAGCAACGGACTAAAAAGGAGAAAATAAAATACTTAAAAAAAACTTTTTAAAAAACCACGTTTTTCTTGTGGACTAAAAAATAGAAAATAACTATTTACATACATTTGATGACAAAAAACGTGGGTCGGGCAGATGGGTCGGGAAATTTGATGGTGAACGTACCCACGTTTTTTGTCATCAAATGTATGTAAATAGTTATTTTCTATTTTTTAGTCCACAAGAAAAACGTGGTTTTTTAAAAAGTTTTTTTTAAGTATTTTATTCTTATTGTCGATGCATTTAAAAGCTTATTATTCATATTTTATCATATTTGTTATATTTTATTATTTTCCAAAGCATTTCAAAACGTATTTTAATTAAAGCTTTTATTCTATTGGTCATATTTTCCTGTTTGTTCTCTCCCCCCCCCCCCCCCCCAAAGATCTGTCAACAACAACCGGGTGTTCGACTGCTCCTCCAACCGAGACCCCAGGGTCAACTACCCCTTCGTCACGGTCCTGAACGAGAGCAACGTGGCGCACCTGCGGTTCCAGGTGACCAGCGGTCTGCCAGAGTATATCTGGGTCGGGTTTGAAGGTCAGTGCTATCAATAGTAATGTAGGATGGGGGGGTGTCGTCAGCAGTGTTTTTTCCAGGCATCTCTTCGGGGGGGGGGGGGGGTGGTGGTTCAAAACTAACTCATCCATGACACTACATATTGTACGCGACCAAAATTAACTCTTGCATGACACTACTCACACATTGTACGACAAAAATCAACTCATGCATGACTCTACACACATATAGTACGACCAAAATTAACTCATCCATGTCACTACATATTGTGCGACCAAAATTAACTAATGCATGACACTACTCACATATTTTGCGACCAAAATTAACTCATCCAGGACAATACTCACATATTTTGCCATTAAAATCAACTAATGCATGACACTACTCACATATAGTACGACCAAAATTTACTCATCCATGACACTACTCACACATTGTACGACCAAAATTAACTCATGCATGACACTACTCACACAGCGAACCTAAACGAGGACATCCGTGTGTCGTGTAAACTCCAGGGCGTGGTCCCCATCAAACAAGACGACCCTAAAGGGGAGACCAAACCCCCAGACACAACCGGAATTAACCAAGAGAGCAAGGCCGGTAAGTTGGGTTTAATTTATTTTTAACTGCTCTTGTCATTTAAAAAGAGAAATACAATGTTTCATTTTTACAATGTTTCATTAATATTGAGTGGTTGGCGTGGTACAGTCGGTAAAGCTCATGGTTGGTTTAACCGAAAAGTTTCGCGTTCGAACCCTCGTGCAGATGAGGTTCGTTAGCTGGGGACAGCCACTCTTCTAGGAGCGACAACTCCAAAATCAAACAACTGCTGCCTTGTAGTTTGTTCCTTGGTTGGACAAAGGCTAATCCAAAAAGAAAAGCAGGCTGAAATCAGAGTCAACGGCCTCAATGGCGGATAACCAGTTGACACGTATACTTCATTGTGTTGGAGGGGATATCTTCCAACACTAAAATTAAGAACGAAGAAGAAGATTAAAATTGGAAATTGGAAATGCTAACATTTACCATATTCTCAAGAATTTGTGATGTACATTCTGTATTATACAACCTATTGGCGCTGCTCATAAGTTACCTTTTTTTTTGACCAGGTATGGACATGACTCCCGCCATTATAGGGGGCGTGGTCGCTGGTGTTGTTCTCGTCGCTGTCGTTATCTTCGTCAGCTGCATCTTCTGTAAGAGGTAAGGCCAGCTCAGAACACTAGTGTAAAAATGTCTGGTGTTATTTTTTTTTTTTTTTATGTTTTGAGCGTGAGTGGTATATGCATGTGCATAAAAACCAGGAGATGAAATTATGCTTTAAGTTTTTTTTTTTAATGCAGTGGCGTTACTAGCTCGGGTGTCACGTGGTGAATTAACTTAAAGTGTCACCCCACCCCCTTCCAAATATTTTTATTTTCGTTTCAGTCTCATCCTTCCTCTCTTGCTATTTTATTATTTTAACAGTAAAAAAAAAAATAGTTTTCTCAGTAGAATTATCAATTTTTCGATTTGGTGTCACCCGATGAATGTCATTCCGTGTGGATCGCCCTTCCTCCTTCACCCTCTGGCTTTTTAAAAGTAAAATCTAAAAATAGTAGGAGGAGAAGGGTGATACCAAACCACATCATTAGGGTGGTGGAGAGGGGAGTGGACACCCTCGGTTATCGTTTACGGCAACGGGTGAGGCCCGGCTTAGTGAAGCCACTTTTGTCAGTCATTATTTTTTTTATAATTACCTTCTATTAGATTCAATTTTATTTGAAAACACCACTGACGTAGATAAATGGCCAACCAAATATTTCACTTTTAAAAAGTTCAACCACGTAGCTATTGGATCGTCCATAAATGACGTCACACTCGTAGGGGGGGGGGGGGGGGGAGGGCGTTTTTAATTTTGTGACGGTGTGTGATGAGGGGGAGGGGGTTCAGATTGTGTGACGTCACACTTTTGCATTATAAAAAGCAATGTTAGAAAACGGATTTTAACCGTTATTTCTCGTTTTAGGAAACTGTTTTAATATATTGTATGTAATAGGAATTGATTAAAATTCTCTATATCGTATTTAAGAAAAATTCAACTGCAATTTTATGAGGGGGGGGGGGGTTGTATGATGAAGCGTGACGTCATTTTAGGGGGGGGGGTCTGGCTTGTTGTGACGATGTGACGGAGGGGAGGGGGCAGGTAAAAACCGTCAAAGAAAGCGTGACGTCATTTTTGAATGACCCATTTCGCTGACGTTTGTTTTCCCTCCGACTAGACTCCCAGTTGCCCGCCGTCCAGCAAAATTCTCAATTTTAAAAAGCTCAACCAAATATCTAGTTTGTTTCCTCCGACTAGACTCCCCAGTTGCCCGCCGTCCAGCAAGCCGATAGACGATGACCAGGGGGAGGTGGACATTGACAGGTACTACAGTACCACAGAGGACGAGATGAGAAATCTGGAACTGGCGCAGGCTGGTTCGGCTAGGCATTCAGTCTCTTCTACACAGGTAAGTTTAGACTGTCGCATCTACACAGATGAGTTTAGGGTGTCTCATTTACACAGGTAAGTTTAGACTGTCTCATCCATGTCGTATCTACACAGGTGAGTTTAGACTGTCTCATCTACACAGGTGAGTTTAGGGTGTCTCATTTACACAGGTGAGTTTAGACTGTCGCATTTACACAGGTAAGTTTAGACTGTCGCATCTACACAGGTAAGTTTAGACTGTCGCATCTGCACAGGTGAGTTTAGACTGTCGCATCTACACAGGTAAGTTTAGACTGTCTCATCTACACAGGTGAGTTTAGACTGTCGCATCTACACAGGTCGCATCCATACAGGTGAGTTTAAAGTTTCGTCTATTAAAATGAGTTAAGTTATGGAACGGCGGCGTCTAGAGGTAGAGCGCTAGACTGCTAACCCGAATGTCTCGATTTCGAATTCGGGTTCAAGTCAGTAGAATGTCCCTGCGTCCACCCAGCTCTGATTTAGGAAATCACCAGACTACACGGTGTACATGGTTCTAGGCTCTATTTAACATAACCATTGCCGGTCTACACAGGGGCTATAGTTTCTAGACTCGAGAAAATTTAAACCATTACCAGAGTTTCTTTCAGGCATCTCTTCGGTGGGGGTGGGGGGGGGGGGGGATGAAACAAAGACCCCTTCCACAGAAAATCGTCAATGGACCCCCCCCCCCCCCCCAACGCCCTCGGAAATTTTAGTCCGTCCTCCCGAAAAATGAAAAAAATTCAAGAGTCCCCCCCCCCCCCCCACCGGAGAAAAAAGTCTGGAAGAAACACTGACCATTCCCTACCCACACAGGAGCTGTACATATCACCAGAGGACGTACGTGCCAACAAGAGAAACAACGCCAAAGTCAAGTCCCCCATCTTGGCCAGTGACGTCTTCGATGACGACGACGAGTACGTCACAGCGTTTGAGGTGAGAGCACTGAGATTTTAAAAGGGGAAGGGGAGTGCAGGGGGTGGGGGGGGGGAGGGGGGATAGTGTCGTACTTACATAAAGTTACAAACTTTCTAAGCTGAGTTTTGCCAGCACCTTCTCGAATCTCGTACAGTCACAATATAATTTTAGTTTTTTTTTTTACTTATAACTAAGGTAAGGAGCCGTAAGAGGGAGTCTCAGAAAGATAAAAACCCGGATCAAAATGGCGGAATGCCGGCAGACGAGACGAACTACGATCGTCTGGGCCGGCAGAGCTTCTCACCCGACCCTGACGTCATGGAAAATTACGACAAGCTAGTTCCAGCAACGGTACCGGAACTCTCAGCGAAGAAATCAGAACCGGACGACCAAATCCCGGATGGCAGAGTTGAAGCCGGAGCCGTGAATTTAGCATACAACGATACGGAAAAACCGGAAATATCCGGCTCCCAGTCTCCAACATACGAGACTTTGTATGACACTAAAGTGAAAGTAGCGCCTACTCTATCCGCGACATACTGCAACGAAGACAAATCTCCGGAATTCGCCCCAGAACGCGATGCCGCCTCCGTCTACGACACGCCGCGTAGCGCCAAATCCAAACTCTTGTCAGTCAGCAGACGTGACCCAGACGACCCCACCACGGACACTGGGCCTCTGGTCGATAAAATCGACGAAACTCTGGAACCGAATCGTGTAGATGAGAGCAACGACGCTGACGACTCGCTGAAAGCCCCAGTGGCCAAACCTCGCAGAAAGGCCAAGAGTGTGAAACCTTATGACCTGGCTAAGCCAATACAGTAGCAGAAGTGTGGATTTTTTTAAACCGCTGAAGTAGATCTATGTGTGCCAGTCTATTTGCAGGAAGTGACCTGTGTAGCATAGACTGTAGTGGAATGTGTAGATTTTAACCTCCGACCTGTGTCAAGCAAAACGCAGCAAGGCGTGTAGTTTTTAACCTCTGACCTGTGTAGACCAACATTCAGCAGGACATGCAGTTTCAACCTTTGACAAGTGTAGCTTAGACTGTAGCAGAATGCGTAGTTTTAACCTCTGAACTCTGCTAACCAATTTGCAGCAGAACATTTAGTTTTTAACCTTTGACAAGTGTAGCTTAGAATTTTGGACGGGTAGTTTTTAATCTTTGAACTTTTTGCTTTCTTTCTTTACGGACATCACCAGCTCATAAGATGTCTCCCATTAGCCAGACAGGCCTCAACAAACTGCGACTAACTGGCTTGGATATCGGTTTGATTACCGTGTCTCGGTCCCTTCTGTCCTATGGTTCTCATCAGGCTTATCTCCCACCCCACTGAAACTCGGACCCCACCGTCCAGTACCAACCTCTTGTCTATAAGGCTTAACCAGAATTTCACCAACATTAGAGCTAGATCTACCGTCACTGTGTTTATCGATAGTGCAGGCAAACAAACTCTGTTATTTTGTTGACTAACCAAACCGGTACTAATGTGGATTTGTTGCTAGATTTGTGTCCAATAAAAGCTGTGAAAGAGGATTTCAAAAAAATTCAACTTCAGTGCCCAACATTGATTAGAATTCCGGAGTAAATTTAATTCGTTGCTATGGAAACTGAACTGTTGTGAGAAACAGAACACGTGTATCATTTGTTGAGCCATAGTAAAGGTGAAAATACTGCTGGAAAATTTTAGCATTTAGGATTTGTTTAAAGGCGGTTTCGGGTGGAATGGTGTGGTCGGGTGGTAGTGGCTACGACGTCTAGACTGTGAGTTTCGAGTTCCAATGGGTGCCTGAGGGAAGTGAAGGCGGCTGGTCATAGACTTGACCACACTACCCTTTTCTGTGCCGAGGTATAGAATACAGATGAACTCTACTTCATCTGCCATTTGGACGTCCAGTGCCGAAAATAAAACTGAACTAACAAATGATGTATACTGATGTAGCTAATAGAGCTATTAAAACTTTTTGCTCTAAATAAATAAATTGTGAACAAAAATGTTCACAATGTGATGGCACCATGTTTATTGCCGGCATCGCGTACTGTATGATCAGTTACGGCACCGCATACTGTATGTACATTGTCGGCAACATATGCTTATTATTCAGTGCCGGCACCGCATGCTCTATGATCTTTGCCGGTACCGCATACTATATACTTAGTGCCGTAATTCTATATTGATAACTTTACATTTAATATAACAGAAACTATTTTTTTTAAATATGTTTGTGGACTCCATAAAAAATTAAGCCAGGGTAGATTTATGTTCAGGTACTATGTTATCAACTTTAAGCATTCTTTTGTATCGAGGCCCAACGAGCGAAAACAATTTGGGGAATAAAATAAAATAATTTGGACAAGTTATTTTGACTTAATGATATATTTTTTATTTGTTATATTTTTGCCATAGGCTATAGGCCCTATATCGCCAAATTGAAAAAAAAATAATACACAGGCCTGTTACGTACTCGATCCCGTAGGTCATATTTTTTGTTTATATTCGATCAAGGTAATTCAACTCTGATGTGTATTCGAATCGTGTAGTTCACAAAACTGTTATGTACATGATTCTTGTATTTCGTGTGTCTGTTTTGTATTCGCTTCTTGTAGTTCATATGTCTGTTGTGTATTCGATCCATCATTACGCCAGTGTATTCGATTCCTGTGATCGTCTAGTCGCCCTGTAATAGTTCACTTAAAGTACATTTGCTTGTGAGCAATTACACTCACTCTGTTCGTAGACGTCGGTTCTAGAACCGGAACTGTCCTGCATCCCTTGCTGGAACTGAATGACCACTAGCCCGTACGTGGCTACAGTACCCAGGAGCTGAGGATTACATCAGTCGTAAAAACAATCAAAATATTTCCTCTGACAAACACAATTTCTTTCAGGCATCTCTGGGGGAGACAGGGGGTTGGGTAGTGTCGAATTCGCAAATTATGAATTGTTGATAAGTAGAAAAAAAAAACAACTAGATATCGGCGTATGCTACGTCGCGGGTCAGCTCGTAATTTATATTGAAAAATATATACTTTAACTTGTATTCCCACCTCCCGCCTCGGAAATTTAAGTGCTCACTTCCTCCCTCCACAACCACCTTAGTACGTCCACCCAGTTACAATGGATATTAGCAATAAGTTAATGAAAGTAATGGCCGTAGTGCATACAGCAGCCCACACCAGTGGCGTAGCGAGGTCGGGTGTCACCCGGTGCGGCACTTAATGGTGTCACCCCCCCCCCCCAGAGGCGTAGCGACCCTTCCCGGGGACAAACTTTCAAATTTTCGATTTGCACCCCCCCCCCGTCAAGTTTTCAATTTGCACCCCCCTCAAACTTTCTATTTGCACCCCCCCTCAAGTTTTCGATTTCCACCCCCCCCCCCCTCAAACTTTCGATTTGCACCCCCCCCCTCAAGTTTTTCTCATTATATTTTGCTATTTTTTGCCTTGGTGTCACCCCCCTAAATGGTGTCACCTGGTGCGGTCCGCACCCCCCGCCCCCCCCCCCTCGCTACGCCCCTGGCCCACACTACCCTTTATATGCCATCGTAACGGAAACAGAAAAGTTCTACTTCTTCTGCCAGACGTACCCAAGTACTCATATTGTTAATAGCTCGTTCACCTATAATAAGTAACTGGCATGAGTTGGCTAAAGGAAAGTATGGAGTGCTTAAATTAACTGGGGACATTGTCTGTATAACCACAGCTTGGAATACTTGATCTGCCAGTATGTATCATCTGGTGTGAAGCCATGTTTACACATTTATTCAGGCATGTTAAAAATACAAAAAAAAATGTAATTACCATAAGAATGGAGGACGAATCCAATGTAAAGATACCATAGAGATCGATACCGACTTTTTTACACGAACAGTACGATACCAACAGTTGAATCTGATAATAAAAAATACGATACCAACTTTTTTACAGGAACAGCACGATACCAAAAGTTGAACCTGATAATAACAAATACGATACCAACTTTTTTACAGGAACAATACGATACCAACAGTTGAATCTGATAATAAATACTATACCAACTTTTTTACATGAACAGTACGATACCAACAGTGGAATCTGATAATTAAAAATACGATACCAACTTTTTTACAGGAACAGTACGATACCAACAGCTGAATCTGATAAAAAATACGATACCAACTTTTTTACACGAACAGTACGATACCAACAGTTGAATCTGATAATAAAAAATACGATACCAACTTTTTTACACGAACAGTACGATACCAACAGTTGAGTCTGATAATAAAAAATACGATACCAACAGTTGAATCTGATACAAATATATCGTGTGAGTGCCCAAACCATCGAATAAGAGATACATTGACATAATGGTTATGCTACGGCTTGTGGACTTGTGTTAGGGTTAGTCATTGAGTAATGACCTACCTGTTGGATGAGGTCTGTGGACATCCCTGACCAGGTCACACTGCCCACAGAGTCAGTGATGGCTTGAGCCTGTCACATAAATAGACACATATGGCATTAGTATTAGCTTTACATATAACAAATCATGAACATTGTTTTTGGCACTGCTTACATTTTGCAGAGCTAAGAACTGGTTATCTGAATGGGGATACGATGGGGAGGATTGTTTATGATAACTTCTGGGACTGCGTGATCGAGTGGTGGAGCGCCTGAATGACTTAATTGGCCTTTTTGGCCCTCTGGGAGCTAAGGGCTGAGGCCACAACTCTCCATTGGACTCAATTTTGAGCGGCTCTCTTTAGTTAAGCACACGTAAGCCCCGGCAGCCCTTGTCTCTGCTTCCACTGTCATCCTCTAAGATTCCATTGCTTGTCCTACTTTCCTCTTCCCCTGGGGATTCCAGTCTAACGCATTTCTCGCGATATTCTCATCTTCCTTTCTCAGAGTATGCGCAATCGATTCCTATTTGTTGGCTTTTATGTCTTTGGCTATTGGCTGTTGTGTTGCGTTTTGCCAAAAAGTCTGGTCATCTTATCTTGAGGATTTGTCATAAAAATCTGTTTGTTAACAACGGAGGGCACGATTGCTAAACCAAAAGTCTCGAGTTCGAATCCTGGGTTAGAGTGTACAATACTTCCTTGACTTGATCCATTTGTGATGGGTACCTGACTTATGTAAAAATAGCTGGGCATAGTGAGTAAAGTTACCTTTCGATCCCGACGGTCCCTGGGGCAAGTGAAGTAGAGTTCATCTTATTCAACGGAAGACATTTGCCCGAATATAATACCTTTTTCCCGAATGGACACTTGCCCGTAGGCCGTTTCTCAAAAGGCCGTTTTTCAGGAATGGACACACTTGCCCGACAAATGCCCGAGTGAACGTTTGACTGAATGCGACAAATGCACTTTCAGGACAATAGTTCATACTGGAAAACGGCATGAGAGCCAGTGTCTTTAGGTCATTTATCTTAGGTAATGTATCGACATGAAAATCGTTATATGGACGTGTTCATTGACATGCAAGAACTTACAGCATTGGGCAGCTGTCCCCAGAACAGACACAAGTACAACGGAGCAAACATTGCTAGACACAGGATGCTAATCTCCGTCACCATCATAACGTCAGACATTCGCCCCCCGCCCAGGGTGTAGATGATGAAAAACACGATCACGGTGCAGAAGAGGAGGGTCACGGTGGCGTACAGCCGGGTCAAGGCCGTCAGCTTTTGACAAAGGTCACACAAGGTCTGATGGCGCTCCCTGTAGATTAGATGGTATATATATATATATATATATATATATATATATATATATATATATATATATATATATATATATATATATATATATATATATATATATATATATATATATATATATATATATATATATATA